CGGCCCACCCCTGTGCCCAAGTTGTCACCGAGCAAGCCAGCCCAACCACTCTTATTTACCCTCGTACGGCAACGAGCCTTCCTGTCCATGTGATCTGGCTGATCAGGAGGGATTTATAGCGCGCCCCCATCTCTTCAGGAATTATTTAACGTCGCAGTCAGGACGACGATCACAGCCAGAATCACAATGAACTCCCAACCAGAAATATTTATAGACGGTCTGGTGAGCGTCTGTCATGGGCTGGCACACCCAGAGGAACTTCTATCAGCGCAGCAAGTGCCAAACAGGACAGTAGCCATCGCATGCGTGGACCACTCCCTGTGGGTTGGCATGGTGACCGTGACCCAAGTGCTTCGACCAAGGCCCTTCAGAGGCACCGCCCTTTCTCCTTCCAGTATGCTTCCTGGAAGATTGTTGTCTCTCAAGGTAGCGCGCTCATGACACCTCACCAAAAGAGAGGACTCTCAAGTTGGACTCACTTCCTCACTATAAGAAGAGATTGAGAGAGTAGATAAGGTAAGGGAACAACGTACCTGGAGATAGCTGCCCCCAACCACGGATTTCTCACCAATTGGGCTGATGTTGCATTTGATGACCGGTCATGACCTCGGTACCACCCACAATGCAATGCAGTGCCATCTTAGTCCAATGCCACATCAGCATGCTCTCATCACCAATCAAACATTCCGCTGTACCCCACGGCTAATAATGCCGTCAATAGCCTTCCGGTGCACCCCTCTCTACCCAGGGCGTGCACCTAGTGTAGCCTGACGTCACAAGTACCCACTGTGAAGAAGCATCATCAACGCACCAAGTCTGTATAACGCCAGCATGCCAAAGGTAAGTGGCGATTAAACCAGCTCCGATACCAAATTGCAAGGAACATGAGTATGGACGAAGCACAGAAATCCAGAATGCAAAATCACACTGAAGTCCAAGTATTCAAAGCCAAAGCAGATAGCACATGGAACCGAGTAACCATCCCATTGAGAATGATACAGAAGAGTCGTGAGTCAATGTCCATGCCCAACAGGGCAACACCAACAGCATAACCCAAATGTAGCTTTCTCTTGTGAATGGCGCCAGGCGCCCTATCTACTCTACAGCCTATCCTACAACTACAGCAATGAGCAGCAACCAGACAACTTGACTACCAGCGAGTGATGATGTCAACACCAATGCTGTATTCCACCATCACTAGGTACGTGTCATCTTCCCCACACTCTCCCTTGTTACCCACACAGCGCCCTTCACCTCCGAAGTACCACCTTCGCCCTCACCTCCCCTGCACCCTCTTGCGGCCCAGGCTATGGCCGCCAGTGCCCTCAGTGCAGGCAGCGCCCTACCGCCTAGCGCTGGCCTGCTTGCTCTTAGCGCARCACTGCCTTGCACAGCGCAGCACACATGCATCCGCGCAGCGTGCCCGCATGTGCCAGCATTGGCCAAGATCCYTGCTGCCTCGCCCTGCTTGCCTATATGCCAATGCAGCATATGGGCGGCCTCCCTTCAGCCTGCGACCGGGACCCAGAGGCTGAAGCCTACCCGATAYAGTTGGGCCCCGGAGCAATGCAGTTGCGCCTCTCTTCTCAAGGCCTGCGGCCAGATTCAGATAGTGGGCCGATTTTCCCTTTGGCATTTCGGCCTCTCTACCCAGCATGCATTGTCGGCCTCACATTCGAGTGCCCAGGGCCTAACTAACTCAGAGGCCCTGGGCATTTCAGCATTTGCTGAAATCCGAGACTCGGTGAACTCCAACCAACTGGCGTGCTGCAACTGTATAGACCCCACTTCGTGAAATGTTGGCCGAGAGGGCTCTTGTTGATTTGCTGGCCCGCCTTCACTTAGGGCGGGCACTAGGCTTGCTGGGGCCTTAGCCCAGAACATGTACATCATGGCAAGGCCCCTACTTGAGGGCTCAATCCACACAGTAGTGTAGCTGTATGATCGTAGTCTGGGCGCTGAGCACCGGTAGGAGGGAGAGCCTCAATAACATTGTTGGTGGTGGCAATAGCATGCTTTACTTGACAATTGAGTGCTTCTCTGCTTTGGTTCTCCTTCGGTGTCATCTCAGTGCATATCTGCTTTCTGGACAGCGTTATGACTACTGTCTTTCAATGTGATTTTGCAATCTGGAATTCTGTCATTTCAGTATTTATGTATTAATATTTATTTCTATGATTCTATCTATCTATTTTAATTAATTTATATTCTGTTTATTAATTTTATACTTTACTGTCATTTCAGGAAGTCCGGCCGACTGTGTGTCCCTGGCTCTCACCAGTGATATGTTTCCATGGAAGGTTGCCCCAGCACTGGTAAGGCCCTCTTCATTGTAGATTACCACTTATTGTAATGAGCCCAAGCTCTATAAATCAACAAACATCACAATTTTAGCCCAAGTTGCACACCCACACAATGCCAAGCATACCACGAGATATCTTGCTAGCATCTTCTCTTGAGACAAGGTCTCCATGGACAACTACATTCTCCTTGCGCATACATGTCCAAACAGGCTTGTTTACAGCCGGCTGGGGAACTATGGCGGCCAGCCCCAGCCAACAAGATGATGAACATTCTCTGTCGTCGGTCCTCAGGCCTCTCACTCCGAATGCCGTGTTGGTCCTATTACTTTGCAGCTACAAATATGGCACCCAGCGCCTCTAGACGAGAGCTACTCCCTGGCTCATTTCGTCTGAATCAATCGGCATTTGGTTGCACTTCAGTGCAGCCGCACTTCCCCAGCAATCACGAGTGAAAAATAACTTTTGGCTGAGGGTCATTCTGAAACTCGATATCAAATTGAAAATAAGAAATAGGAAAGTTAATAAAAATAAATAATAAAACATATTTCACTGGTACGTGCAGTGTCACCCAGACTTTTCTTTATTTCTTCAATGTGTGTGTGTGTGTGTGTGTGTGTGTGTGTGTGAGAGAGAGAGAGAGAGAGAGAGAGAGAGAGAGAGAGAGAGAGAGAGAGAGAGAGAGAGANAGAGAGAGAGAGAGAGAGAGAGAGAGAGAGAGAGAGAGAGAGAGAGAGAGAGAGAGAGAGAGAGAGAGAGAGAGAACTGTTGCTATGTTTTTGATGTGACAGTTCAGCTTCCCGGTCCTTGGAGACCCTGTAGACCCAGCAGCTTGCTCACTTCTGCGTCTGAGCCTCAATGTCTCCAGAAAGTTCCCTGCTTTTCCTGGGACCCTGGGCCGCTCGCCTACGTGAGACTAAATCGGGCTGACTGCCTGGACTGGACCCGACTCCCTTAGCCTAGTGGGACTCTAGCTACCTGGAACTGGACAGAGTGGAGCGGACTGGCCTATTCAACGAACTTGACACGATGCGATGCGAATTGTCCCTGGGACTAAATTGACCAGGTTTTGGACTGCTCCTTGACCATTGATGCTATTGTGCTGACATAACTGGAGGTTCCTTGCGCTGTTAGCAAAATGAAGAGGGATAAGTTTTGGGGAGGGGCTGGGTAGGAGGAAGGGGCACGGCAGCATCAAGTGGCAGCAACCCTCTTTACCCTCCTGAGTCATGAGTAAAACTTTGAGTTGCTCCCTCGTACTTCTTTAACAATTATTGGGAACTCTGTGCACCATAGCTGAATATCCGGGCCACTTTTTTTGTCTGGATCATGCAAGCGGATCATTTCCAGATTAATCTGAAAAGAAATCATCGAGGCTGCACAAAGTAGGGAGTTTTGAACTTTGCTTCTTAAACCACCGGTCCATCGTCCCCTGTACTGTAGTGAAATGGTCTCACCTTAGTTGCCTGTCGTGATTCGGTCCTGGGACCTGTTGTTGTTGACTGCTGTTCTGTGTTCCATGTGAAAGGCCTTTCTTCACGCTGCAGACCCCAAATTCGAGTTTCAGGGTCAAAGTTCCCTAAGTCAAAAGAGGCCGAGAAGGACGAAACACAAAATGGTTGTGTTGGGTAGCTCACAGGGTCAAAGTCGGCTGGTACCCAGTGTTAAGTCAAGTCCCCTCAGTCACAAATGCAGCAGCGCACCAAGGAAAGTCTGGAAGGTACCGGGCCTCAATATTCCAAAAGCAAACATGCCACAGGTTTGGTACCAGTCAAAGTCAGACCCATAACCAGTCAAGCAGAGGCCAAGTGAAGCAAAGCCCAGTCCAAGTCAATAGAAGAAACTGGCCTGGACTCATTTGGGCAGATTGCTCATTCGTTAGAAAGTCGAAGCGCTGCTGGTGCTTGTGTGCTATCACGAGTGGCTGAGCGCTAAGAGCCCTTCTGGGCAGCGCTATGCTGAAGCAGACGGGCTGCCATAGCTGCGTGGTTGTAGAGTGAGGTAGAGCTAGAGCAGGAGGCGGATGTATCCAGAGTTTATCTTCAAGTGTGTGTGTGTGTGTGTGTGTGTGTGTGTGTGTGTGTGTGTGTGTGTGTGTGTG